CATGTCAATCCTCACGACCATGCATTTTCTCGTCTTTCCAATGCTTCTATCAGCTGAATTACCGATTACTGATTACTGAGTATCGTATTGAGTATCGTATTCACGAAAACTTTTGATCAGTATCACATAAATGAATATTTCCCAAAGTTTCAAATAATTTGACCAAACAGCTTTTCGTCGTACTAGTGCGTAGAGGTCCTTTATAACATTTAATTTTGCTTATAGCACGCTGTATATTTACAAAATATTCGATTTTAAATGCCTATTTCAAATATCTGTTGAACAATGCATTTCAAATAAAAATATGTCATATAAGAATTACAGAATTTTAAGGAGACATAATAATAATATTGATTCATTCGCAATGTCATCTATTTTTCAAATAAAATTATATATTTTTTGCAAAGTTGGGAAGTAACTTGTAACAGCGCTATTTGTAACATTTGTCGTTATCGTTACACTTTTTTGATAATAGACTGGTAATGGTGTTATTTTTTTTTAATAACTAATGAAAACGCAATTACATTTTTTCAATAACGATAACGAATTTAAGTTATTTTCATTGTAACTTTTTACATTTTGAACCTATTTATGACAAAATTTTTATATATTCGATGTTCACTCTTCGATCGACATTCATTCAGCTCTATTGTTGTATTTAAAAATCATTTTAAGAATAGTTTTAAAAATAGTTTATCATAAACCAATTACAAAGACAGATTTCAATACAGACAATAAATGCTTTTTAAAAATTTTTAAACAGAGAATTGAGCATAAAGAAATGCAAAATGTAAAATTGTTGTAACAATAATGATAATTAGCCGATATATGTTTCAAACAAATAGACAATAGATGGCTTCTATCGGCAGACTGGGTCTTCGTATCGAATAATTTTTACTTTTCTGAATTTCAAGACAAAGTTTATCGCAAACTACGTGTCGTTAATTCAACGATTTTGCAACGTAATCTATTCAAAGGTAAATTCACCCCTTCCCTATTAAATTGATAATAAAATTTGAAATCGATTAATCTCCGATTATTGAAAATTTTATTATGAAAAATATTATCCCAGCCAGAAATCGAACTTGGATCGCTCGCTCAACGCGCGAATGTTTTATCCATTCGACCATTGAGGCATAATAATATTTATCGTAATAATCGGATAATTTTGAAAGAACTAGGTGAATTTAGATTGTTCATTTGTTTAAAATTATTGTGTTTATGATTTTAATAAAAACCATATCTTTTGTATTTGGATTTGAAGTATTTTAAAATCTTAAATTTTTTAAATCTTGCGAATTTAAGAGAAAAAATTTTATGTTTACATTGATAATTTAACAAAAAATATGAGAAAATTTTATTTTTTATTTAATCTAATCTTTTAGTAAAAGTAGTTTTAAAAAAGTAACAAAAAAGTAATTGTCCCTGTTTATGTAGATATAATAATAATGAGTTCGAAATTATTCTAGTTCTCACTAATGATGATAACTAGTTACTTTTTTGACTCTAGTTTGACTGTAACAAATAACAATAACGAATTACTTTTAAAAAATAACTTTTCCCTAACTTTTATTACGTAATATGCAGAGTTGTGAAGTAACTCGTTACTTGTAACGAAGTTACAGTCAGAGTTACTTTTTTTCAATAATTATAACTTAACTTCGTTCCTTTTTTTCATTTGTAACTGTAACTTAACTTAATTACATTTTTTTTAGTAACTAATAACTATTTTAATAGTTACTTTCATCGTTACTTTATATATTTCAAATTTATTTGTCATTTAGTGCTATTGTGTCATTCTATCCTTGTTTTATATTTAATGATAAAGTGACAATGGCTACGTTCAGTAGAGAAAGCAATTTTGCAACTGTTGTAAAAATCCTTGAAATGATGGATTTTTGTTAGTTTCTTCCTTAGTTTCTTATGAATCTAAATGCATAAACTAATCACATTTAAGAATCACAGTTGCTCTTACACAGTTGTAAAGCTATTTAAGTTGAACACAGTCAATACCACTGACAGCCTGCTTCTCACACTTTTTGGTTATGTTCGAAAACATAATCAAATTGATTACCCTACCTAATTGATTACCCATTTGATTACCCTACGTATCATTTTATTTTTGTTTTTCACCGAATTTTAAACAAAAATAAAATGATGCGTAGGAGCACTCGGATCGGATGTTTCCGAACTTAGTCTTGTAACCAATGTAATTGGTTAGATGTAAAATAAGAACCAATCAAATTCGATTGCTATAATAAATTAAAGTTTTCAAAATCTCGCTTAATGTCGTTGCAATCAGTCCTTAGAAATATATTACAAGAAATATATTAGAATATAAGATTTTTATTTTTATTTAAAATAGCAATGCACGAAACATTACAGGAAGTAAACAGAGAAGTAACTAAAAAATAACGACTCGTTACTTTTTGAGTAAATATAATTGTAAGATGTTATTTTTTTAAATCAGTAACTTGTAATTTGTAACTAGTTATTTTTTGAAAGAAAAGAACTATAACTGTAACTAGTTATTTTTACAAGGTAACTTTCTCAACCCTGGTAATATGATGTCTCGAGTTCTAGATAAAAAAATATTATATAAGTTACGAATGCCAAAAAGTCAATAATCTATGAGATGTTTTATATTTCATCCTCGCATATTCTGATATAAAATATAAAATATTTCGTAAATTATTCATTTTTTTATAACTACATATTAAGGAGGTATTTTAGTGTAACAGATGTTTTTTCTGCATCGTTTTGTAATTTTTCATAAAAGATCCGTAAAAGTTTTTGATATTAGAATTTTTCCTACATATTTATTAATATTTAGAGTATGTTTGTAAATTTTTTGATAGAAAAAAATGCGAATTATCCATAATTAACTGCTTTGTAGTGAACAATGAAAAGAAAGTGCTTGCGTGACGTCCACGATTGGTTCTGCTCATCTGAAACAAAGAAAATTAATTGATTCTTAATTAGTATTATTTTGGCTATAATAGGTACTAGAATAAAAGAAAAATATCGAAATTAAAAGAATGATGATCACTTTGGAAATTAGGTTTTAATTTTTGCAAATTTTTTTATCTTTAAAAATCTGTAAAATGGAAAATTTTAACATACTCATGGTAGGGACAATAGCAATATATGTGCTGAAAATGTACGCATAAATTAAGCTCAATTGGTCGACTTTGAGATATGAACATTAGTTCAAAAAATACGGTTTCGAGGAAAAGATGTTTGAAGTTTTGCGATTGAACAGAAAGAAAACTTTACAGAACTTTACAGAAAGAAAACTTTACTCACCATTAATCAGCCAGTTCAGGACCATAGAGGGGGGCCCTGTTCTTATTCGAACAAATCCTGCTCAGCTGATATTTTTTTCCGGCGATCGATTCTGACTTGTTTAGCGAAATCACTCGAGTGTCGCTCCGAACAGCAGATGTAAGTATCATTCTGGGAGTTCACAAACATTTTCGCTTGCTGTTCAATAGTTATTCTCATTATTGTCGTTAATTTTAAAATGCAAAAATCCTTCATTATATATAATTACTGCTAAAAAAGTAGCGATTTCAACATTTTTTAATCTAGAATGTATTTGTTTTGAAATGTATATGTTTTGGAGCAGTCCAAATTAATATCAAGGATTTTTATAACAGTTGAAATGAATTTAAAGATTCATGTTGTTATTTTAACTAACTCTAACCTTCTAAAAATAGCAGTCATATGAATCTTTTCCGAGATAGATCTGCCGAAACGATATTATTGTGTGTCGCCTTCCCGCTTGGCAAGCGTAAACCTATCACTTCCAGTCGCTGTAACTTACTTAGTAAATTTTATGAATTGAAGTAAATCCTTTTGCATACATATATTTGCTATACATATATTTGCAGAAAATGTAAAAAAATTCGAGTTTTTTACATTTAGAACCATTACATCAGAATACCCCTTAATATTTTTATGCAGAATAATGAGATAAATCAATTAATGTAAAGAAGGCACATAGATGGTTTAAAAAAATTACGTAATTAGCAATATGCAAATACATACTTTTTTTTAAAGACAACTACATGCCTTTTCTACACTAAATAATTATTAAAATAAAAAATTAATAATTTATAAGATAGTTTGTATTATATATCAGAATAAAATATAAAATATCTCGTAAACTATTAACTTTTTAATATTTGTATATTAATACTTGTATATCTAAACTAACTAGGAGAATATTACATAACAAAAATATGATTCCATTTTAAAAAATAGCGACTATGAAATTTCGACATTGGTGCTTTCTGTAAATAAATCAATAATCATATAACATCCTGGACACTCTACGATTTTTAGCTAAAACATTTTTGTTCTTTTTCTTAAACTTAAGGATTCTGAAATGTCTAGTGAATTTATTAAAATGAAATATATACATGTACGAATGCGTGCATGCATGTGCTGGCATATGCACGTATATATGTTGCTTGAAAAAAATGTCACATTTTTTAAATATCTATTTATATAGGTAGAAATAATAAATACAAAATTACAATTCTTTGAAATTATAAATACATTACACAATCGCATCTATGTAACTGCAAATCTTAAAAAAATGCAGGAAAAAGTAAAATTTGAACCTACAATATGCAAGTCTGGCTTATTAATCTGTTGCATTACGCTCTACGTTACGATCATTTGTTGAAAATCTGTCTTTTTAATATATTACATGAGAAATACAAAATTACAAATTTTAAACTAATTTTTCTCGCAAAAAAAGTTGTACATGAGAAATACAAAATTACAAATTTTAAACTAATTTTTCTCGTAAAAAAAGTTGTATCAATTGATTTTGCTATTAACTAGTAAGGACGTATTACAATATATGCTCATTAAAATCAGTTCATCAGAAGACAAATTTTAATAATCTTATACTAATAAAAACATAAAAATATAACATAAATACACATAAATCACAGATGAGTTAAATTTTGATTCATTACACTATTGGACATATTAAATTCTTGCTGTATATACATTCAATTTGTTACATGTAATTTTTGTTTAATTGCATTAATATTGTATCCATTTTTAACAATTTTTTTTAATAATGTTTAAATATACTTAACTAATTATGTGCATTTATTTCACATCCATCTTGGAATAATTAATTTTTAAATAAATATTTTTAAACTTTTATTGCATATACTCTTAAAGTTTAAACTTTGTGGATTATTTTAAAACTTTAATTTTTCAGATTCGTTAAATATTTAGACATCCAATAGCATATACTTTCATACGTATTAGATGTATTTTTTTAAATTTTGCTGTATATCTTTTTGAATATATATTAAATTATTACATATATTTTTTATTTTCAATACATATGCTTTATGAGTTTAATATACTTAACATATCCTTTGCACTTTTGTTAACTATTCAAACACTTATCAATATTATTTAATGTTGATAAGTTATATATATGATAATAATAGATTTTTACTAAGTTATTTAAATTTCTATTAGAGATTTTGATAGATCCAATAATAACTTCAAAATATTATACTTGTAAATATTGTGTATGTTTTAAGAATTAAATATATATAAAGTGCATATATATTTTTTATTCTTAGAAATTTTATTACTTTACTAACTCTTTGATCGATTATTCATTTACATTACATGTAATAAAAATGAAGTCTTCACAATTTTATTATTTTTAGTTTTTGTTTTATTTAATTGTTTCATATGATGGAAATATTTTGTACTGAAATTCTTTCTCAGTTGATCCTATTTCATTATTATTTCAAAACTTTTATTACTCACGAAATAGACATAGTGACAAGTCACAATAAAAGAAAAAAAATAAGAAACAAAAAATGCAAGAGAGTAATATAAGTTCCATTACACTAGTATATTGCAATGAATATTAGTTAGCATTTAGTAATTAATAATTTTATTCAGTCAACTGACATCAAAACATTTAACACTTTTTATTAATAAACATAGTTAAGATTAAATATATAATTTACATATCATTTACAGCTGATTCTCATTAGCCTGACTATTGTTCAAAATTAAGATTTATGTTGGAATATATTCGGCAATTTTTTAATAATTTTCACTTCACTTCAATTTTATAATGTACTTGTCCTTATGAAATTTAATGTAATACTATGAAATATAAGAAAAGTTAAATGAAGAGTATTGTTAAAATTTTTTGAAATATTATATATTATTAAATTTATTGAAAAACTGTGTAGATTGATACAATAATAATGAAATAGCATCAATTAAGAGAAAATTTCAACAAAATATTTTCATCAGGATAGAATAATTCTTTAAATTTTTTTCCCACCTGTTGTCGAATATCTTGTATATAAAACTATAAATGTTTCAATATCAAACTATCATTTAACAATACATACCTAAAAGAAAGCCAGTGTTGGAGCGTCCTTCGCGACATTGCACCATCGCCAATGATGAACGCAAATAATATTCAGCCAATGATAAATGTTTTTGGCTGGTTTCAACCTCCAAGGCGGTGCACTCAGCAAGTCGTAAAAATGTATAAGAAATGCCTGATGCACCAACGTATATTCCGCCATCAGTTTCCGCACGCTCAGGTGGTTCCTTGTCAACAATACGTTGCAAGATCTTGCGTAGATTATCTTTAGCAATACGCCGGCTATCATCAATCTCGCGTTGCATCGACAATACGTTGCTAATAATTTCTTCTTCACGCTCACAATACTTATTCACAAAATATCTGGATCGTCGCGACATAGTGTTGAAGAAGTTTTTATCGTACTTTCTAATGCAGCACATTAAACAACATATGTACGTCTAGTCGATTTTTTTTTTTTTCTTTGCCAATTGATGTTGCCGGGCGAGAACGGATAAGTGCTTTCAACCTCTCTCGGGCTACAGCACAGGTTCGCTATTTTCTCTTATCTCGTTTTTCTTTTTATTAAATTACTTTTAACTCTTTAATCCACTTGAGGTTCTTCGTCTTAATTTGTGTATAAGTTCTCACAAGAAACTCTCAAAAATTTGTGAAACAATATATGGAGCGAGGGTTAGGTTTGAACCTGCTAGCCTTTATGTATAGTTGATATGTATTGAGGTTACAATATTTCCTTGGACCGCACCATTCCAGAAATAACTAGTGAACGTATACTAAGAAAAATGAAATGTCTCTGTATATAAGATGGGCAACAATAGAGTATTTAGTAAAAGCCATTGCACGTGAAAAAATTTTAGTGATAATCGTAAGGTCGTAAGCGACCAACTACAATCGATTATTTTTAAATTGTAACGAGAATAATTGATTCTGATTGGTCAATTTGCTTATGATCTTACGATTATGATTAACATTTTTTCATGTGCAATGGCCTTAAGAGTCTGGCCATCAGAAACTCGATTTTGAAGCGTTTTGATTGGCCATTTTTTCTCTAATTTAAGAAAAGGTAGCTTTAGCGCAAGCGTATGAAATAATGGACATACATAACCTCAGAAAAATTTACGAAACGTATATCGGTTCGAATTATTCAGACAGATTCTATTTTTCGTAGATTATGACACAATTCTTTTTCTTTAATAAAATCTTAATAAAATTATTTTTAAATAACGTATGTCTTTATAGAAATCGAATGCTGAAAAGTAATGATTGATTACTCAATTTGAATATTAAAAATAATATTATTTGCTTTTAATATTTAAAATAAGTAATTTCTAATATTATATTGGCCAGTAATTACATTTTTACAGTGATGTAACATGTAACCAATGATAAGTACAAAATGATATTTTCACTATTGGATGAACAATCTTTGAAATTAAATGAAACAAAGTTTAACAGTTTATTTTAATTTATTTTATTGCATTATGTATTACCATTGACTTACTATCATAATATTTATATTTAATAATTCTTTTTTTATTAGATATCCTTAATTTATAAACTGCAAATTTATTTGTTATTTTTGTATTTAAATTATGACCTTGCAAGATGTGACTATTACGTAACATATTAAGAAATTTATTAACTAAAAACTTCTTATTATTGCAAATAGATTTTTGGTATTTTTTGAATATATATTTCAGTTTTTTAAATGTTTCGAATGTTTGATTATTAACAAAAAATAAAGTGTTATTTTTGTAACTTCTTAATCGTACTAATTTTGTATGTGAAAAATTTCAATTTATAGAATCTACATTATTAATACATTGGTCACAAAGTTGTGTATTTTTTTTTAATACTCGTTACTATGTAACAAGCGATACTATATAAAACGCTATTTTCTATATAATATTTATTTATAATATTTAATTCTTATTGTTTGAGATATGTATGACATATTAACATTTGACTGAGTAGGAAATTCCGAGAATATTTTACAATCCTGGGAATGATTACAATGTTTTGAAGATTTATGTTCGATAATTACATCCAAAAATCCTTGTAGAATATATAATTTCTCCTTATCTTTTTCTTTTTATAATAAAAATAAAAGAAAAAAATACCGAAAACAAGCTCAACGATCGCTAGATGCTATGATTGATGTTACGTGCATTAATACGTCATTAGAGAAAAAAATGGCAGACCAATCAAAACGTTTCAAAATCGAGATATTGAAAGGATATGTGATGGCCAGACTCTTACTAAAGGATCTCTAGGCAACAAAAGATGAGACTGCCATCTGGTGCGAACTAAAGTAAATTGTAGAGTTTCGTCTCATATACATGTAATCTTTTCAATATTAAAATTTGAAATAGATATTAAATGATAATTAGATGATTAAATAGGTATGTAAAATTAATGAAAACAAAAATAAACACTATATACAAAATAGACGTATTTATTATAGACGTATTTATTAGACGTATTTATAAATAAACTGCTAAATAAATTTATTACAAATAAACAAATACAATATATTTGCACCAATATTTACATGTACCTATGAATAGAGACACCACACATGCTTTGTATACTTATCACAATATATGCATCACAATAATATCATAGAAATCTTAGATACTGTATGTTGTATTATATGTTAGCATATTATTTGTTTATGTAGTTGAGCTTCTCATATATACATCGGATATTCCATGTAATTCTATATATGTAAATATCCCAGTACTCGGAATTAGTTGCTCTTTTTGGCTCAATTTCGAAGGCGACGCCTACAGTTCCTCCTACCGCTCAAGACTTCACGGCCGAGCTGCTGTAGCCTTATGTCTCAGGGCTGAGATTCTGTACTCGCTTACCGACAACTATCGGTATCGTTAACGATAGCCAATGACAGCCGCGCTTTTTTCCAAGATCGTCCTTGCCATTGGCTGTCGTTAACGACACTGACAGTTGTCGATGGACATGTACAGAATTCCGGCCCAGGAATGTCTTATATTAAAAATGCACTATTTTCGCCAAACTATTATTAAATCAATTTCTTTATTAAATTATTTTTATTTTTACAAACATTAAATTTTCTTTTTAACATATTTTATGTGTTTTATAATATCTAATGATAATAAATACGTTTATAATAAAATTATTACAAAATAATTAGAATAATTAAAGTTTTAACAATAGGTTCTACATTACCCAAGATATTATTGTTGACACGTTTTCTTTTTAGTGGTTTTCTTAGTAGGCCTATTCCATTAAAAAATAAGAAATCAAATATATGGCTTGGCAGGAAAGTAAAATTCTATATTGTAAAATATAATATTGTCGCGTTCGCGGCGTTACTTCCCGTGATCGCGATACTCGGCGGAGCGCTCTCGGAAAGGAAGAACACTGTTTTAGGAAAGACTCGCTCTTTATTAAACCAACGATACAGAAACGCGTCCGGCCACCGCAGAATCCGGCCGTCAAATCTGTAAAATAGTCGGAGAACGACGCGTTGCCAAGGGCCGATCCTCTATTCAAACTCTTATCGATTGATATTGATTTT